TGATGTATAATTTAATAAGGAGTATTAATATACAATATTTTTTAATTTATTTTATAATAATTATTAATATAATTAATCAAAATTCCCATAATCAAAATATTTAGATATTCATTTTATTTATTTAAGTAATTAAACCTTTTAAATGGAGGGACTTTTGGAAAAATAGGACTTTAGTTTAAATCCTTGATCATTGATCCCTCCCAACTTTGCTCATTAGTGGAGATGGGCAGGGGGGTTTTATTTATTTTTATACCCACGTTAATAATAGTTATTCCTAAAAATAGCAACGCAGTTGTAGTTATTAAAAAACTTCAAGCTTACCTTTTGAGATTGTTATTTTGAAAATATAATTAAATTGAATTATTCAATTATTTTGTTTAAAATTTAATAATGAACAAATTTTTCCAAAATTAACATATAAATTAACAATATTTTTTAACAAATTTTATATATAATTATCTATATTTTATAAAAATGTTACAAATAAAAAATAATATTTGATAAAACATTGAGCAAACTCGATGTTATTACAAAATATTAATAAATAAAAAGGTATTTTTAACAAAAAACATGAATATTTATATTAACGAGCAAACTTTAAAAAACATACAAAATGAGTGTTCCTCCAAAACTTTCTTTCGTTTACGATCAAAATCTCTTTTTGAAAGGATATATTCATGTTGAATTTAATGATAAATCTTATGTTATGTGTTTATTTGATGGAACATGGATGAAAAAACATCACTTGCAAATCATGCAAAGTTGAAAAATGAAACCAGTCAATAGAAATTAATAAAAGAAAAAGAAAAAGAAGAAGCAATGAAAAATTATTCAATGTTTTTCAAATCAGATTATACAAGTGATTATATAGCAAATCCAAAAACGTTACCAGATTATACTTCATTTTTTTCAAAAAAGGATATTGTAACAAAGTTTTTTAATTATATGAGTATAAGAGGAAAAAGAACAAATGTTGCTATGATAGAATCAGCAAAAAATGAATTTACACAATTATCGGTTTTAAATCAAGTTCAAAGAAATTCTGACCAAAAAGAAGTATGTGTTGACAATGTTATCAGTGACCATAATATCCATAGTTTTAGTTGCAACAATGATGAAGATATAAAACCCGAAACCACTGTTATAACATCGGCGTTTACGGTTGTTCCTGATGAACCGGAAGATATTCCAATCCCAACTATCAAAAAACAAACACATAAAAAGGCACAAAATCTTTCTGCTGCCGAGTTTGATGATGGACTATTTAGAAAAACAAGTTTATTACCAGCAACTACTTGGCCTTGGTATAAATTAATATCGGCTATTAAATTGTTTACTTTCCCACCTGGTGTAAATAGATTTAATAGAAAGCGTTTTTCGGAATGTATAGATGTGTTGTTTGATTATTACTTGCATTCGAAATATTGTACAAAGTATGAAAGAGAAGCATTTGAATTGTTCCAAAAAAGAATTGTAGCATTCGAGATCACTTGTATAAATATCGAAGCTAGGTTATCCGAGTCACAAGTTAATGCAGTTAGTGATGATTTATTTGTCTTTCTTAAAGTTTACAATCCAAGTCTGTTAGACAAAATCAATTACCTCGGCATCAGTAGCCGTAATTCATTCAGAGTAGCAACAGATTTTAATGTGTTGGCAAAATCCGCATTTCTATGTGAAATCATAGACTGCGACTGTATGACTTTATCGAGTGATAGCTCGAGCAAAAATGATGAAGAAAAATATGTGATATTAGTAAGAATGTGTAAAGGAAGAACATTCAAAACCTTTCCTTTGGTAACACAAATAAAATGTGGTGGTTCTTCTGCTCAAAAAATTGCAGATTGGCTCTTTTCGGAATTGAATCTACTCATTTCAAATTTTCCATTTGAAAGAATTGTAAATAGTTGTTGGGATGGTGCACTGAATGTTCAAAATTCGATACAATTTTTCAATGATATATTAACAGCTTATAAAGCGGCACCAACAGATTTGGTCAGTTGGTTTAACAGCTCTAATTGGTGTTTTGCACATTTAACTGCACTTGTTGGTGTTAGTATGATGAAAAGTGCAGAGGGTGAATTAATTGTTTTATTCACTAAGTTTTGCTGCCAAAAGAACAACCGTTTGGCTTTAGAAAAATTCAAAGAGGATAGCGCGTTGTATGATGATTATGGAAAGTTAAATGCAGTTGCAGAAACAAGATTCCTCTCAATATGCGACAATATTGAAGGCATCTGCAAACAAATTAAACCGGTCAGTGAATATATTAATGAAAAATGGATGAATTGAATAAATTCTTTTATGATAATGCTAAGATTGCTCAGGATGATGACATTATGAATTTTAATATGTCTTCTCAAAAGTGGCAAAACAGACTGAATATTTACCATGATATTCTTCACTTATTAAAAGATTTGTGTGTTTCTCTGCAAGCAGAAAATGCTACTCTCCCAGTATATTGGACTCGCATTTGTAATTTCAAAAGAATGATGCATATATTGGTTGAAAGAATTGACAACAACTCCAATAACAAATACACCGCATTTCCATTTGTTCGTTCTGATTCTATTATTGATGTTGATTGTTTAAGAACTACACTTGTAAGAGCAACATTGTATTTTGAAGTTCGTTTTATGTACATTGGAAGCTCTGGAGAAGTTGATTGTGTTGAACAATTCTTTGATTATTCAAACTGTTCATTAAAGGAAGGTGTAGAACCACGTCTTGATATTCAAAATCACTTGGACGAATTACTCGAGTTGTTTTATATCCCAAGTGTTTTAATGAACATACCATCATACAATCAACAATATATTCCCAGATATTTTTTATGTGTTTCTGAAGAAGTTAAAATATTAAAATTTTGTTTGGACCGTCTTGATGATATAGAAAGAGATATTATTCAAAAAAACGCTGGATCAAAATTGCCTCGTACATCATACGATGAAACTTTGGAAACTTTTGTTGGAAGAAAAGAAAAAGTAAGTCTTTTGGATGTGTACGAAATACTTGAAAACAATCAACTTAATAATTTGGTTCAAGTTGTCCAGATAACATTGACTGTCTCTCCAACAACAATATTTGTTGAAAGATATTTCGACTTTATAACACAATTTCAAAAACAGATGATGCCAACAAAAAACGCTATTGAAAGAGTAAACTTTTCATCAAAGTCTCAATCAGTATTTTTAATTCACTGATTTTTATTCTTTTTAATTATTTATAATAAAATAAAATATTAAATTCTATAAAAAAACAATTAAACAAATTATTTATTAATTCTTAAATTTTAATTGTATTAAACAAATAATAATTAAAATTATATTTTAATAATTCAAAATTATTATAAATTACAATTCAAAAAATATTGAAAATACATGTTTTTGAAGTTTATTATATAAAGTGTTTGAGATAAAATCATATAAATATTCTTTTTTTGTTTTTAAAGTATTTGACAATGAAATTACAATAAAAATAATAAAATTATTAATATAAAACAAAAAACTTCACAATATATTATATTTTTATAATACATTACTACACATTAATATCATTAAAAGATTCAAATATAAAATAAAACAGTTATTAATCTGTATTTTTATTTTTATCAGCAGTTTGAAAAAAATTCAGCATTTTAACAATATTTTATAATTTATGATAATTGCAAATTGTAAATTTTTATATTAACATAATAAATGTCAGAACAACTATAAAAATTCTTCAAAAATATTTATTTTTACACTTAAAGTTACTCCATTATTTATTAATTGACCTTTTATTATAGAGATATTAATTTAAATATCAGATGATTTTGCTTTATGGATTGTGTCATGCAATGCATTTAATATAAATTTATAAAAATGGATAAACATTTAAAAAAACTCGAGATTTACCATTTTTATATAAATTGAATTTCGTACAAAATCATTAAAGGTGATAATAATAATTATTTTTTTGTTTATTTTGTTTATATCTTTAAAACCTTCTAACTTGAAAATTTCTTAGTTGTATCATTTGTAGTCAATTAAGTCTTTTTGCGTTAAAGTGCCGACAAAAATAAATTTCTAAATTACCATTTTGTTTTTCTATTACTATTTAAATAATCAAAAATGGAATTGGTGAATTAATGCTTATATACTATTTTATGTCTATTTTTGGACATTTTGCTTATGTTCATTATTTGTATTGAAAATAATCTTTAATATAATTCAAAACAGCACTGGCGTCTTCATGATAAACATAAACATCGACTATAACATTTTAAAACCAATTAAAATTTTTTCCAAATCAGTATTATGATATCAATTCTCGTACAATAATGTCTCTTGATTGTTTGTATTGTTTGTTTGGCTATTAGCTATATGTTTATCTTATTATGTCTTAAATATCGACATTAAAATTGTCATAAACGATAGATAATACCATTTTATGTATAACTTTCTTAGTTTGAAATTGTTTTAAAGTTTATTATTTTAAAAATGTATGCTTTCAGTTTGTATTGTAATTTATCAAATATAACGTTAAAAAGAGCAAATAAAATATTTAACATTATTTTATAGTAAATGTGTAATGGTTTTTAATTACAAATATAGTAAAACCACCCAAGAGCGGTACCTCTGAAGAGCGGGTTCTCTTAAGAGCGAGCATTTTTAAGACTGAAACTATAAATAGAGTTCTCTATCGAGTGGTAATTAAGGTTTGATTGGGTAAAAATGCCTGCTCTTGAGAGAACATAATTACCACACCCGCCCACTCTTATGAGGTTTTAATGTAACAATAATTGTTGTTATATTAATGATATATAATAACTTTATCATATAATACATGTTGTGTTGATTTGATTTAATTTAATTGAAGTTTATTTCATAAATTAAATAAAATAGACATTTTATCATTTTTTATGTTTATTGTTATTTCAAAAAATCGTAAGTAAATATTTATTAGAATGACAATCAAATAAACAACACAACATATTAATAATCAATCATATCCAAACAATAAAATATAACGGACATTTTATATCTCGTTTTGAAAAAAAAGGTTGATAAGAAAGTTAAAACAAAAAATACACTTTAAAATTTTTCATTTAATATACATCATAAAAAATTAACTATTTATTATAGGTTTTGTTGAAATTTTTACTACCAATATTGTGTATTAAATGTATTGATTATTTGAGTCAGTTTTATTAAAGTATTTTTTAAATTAAAATTGACTAGGCTAACACTGTTTATAAGATTTAAACGACTACATATATTTTTAAATATTATTTAAAATAATAATAATAATACTGTATATTAAAGTTGTTATATTATTGTTGTTTAACTTTATTTAAATTTTTTAATTATAATTCTGCGTTTTTAAACTGAAAAAGCATGTTTATTATTTGTGTAGAATAATAATTATTTTTAACTAAATTTAATTTTCAATATAGATTATTTTACTTTTAATTATAATTAATAAGTTACTGTTTATTTAAATTAAACCCTAAATGTTTTGTTTTGTTTGTTGCAATTGGATTATTCCACAAACCTTAAAACCAGAAATAATTGTTAAAAAAACACAAAAACAATTCGAATGATATATTAATAAATTTATAAAGTCGTTTTACATTTACTAAATATCAATTTGCCTCATCAAATATTAAAACAATCAAAATCCAATTAAATTAATCAAAATATATAGTAAATATTGATAGTTTGAATATTTTATTTCCATTTTCTTTTACTTATTATTCTTCTTTTTGTAATTGTTAAAGCAATTCATTCTTTTGTTTCACCATATTAAATATATATTAATTATTATGTGTTATTTAAAAGTCATATATTTATAATTAATACGTATTTTACAGTTCAATTTTAATTGCCATTTGGCGTTTTGATATATCGTTTTTCAAAACAATAAAAATCAAATCCAAAATTAACATTTAACCCCTTTGTTTGCACGCAAAATGATATTGTTTGTTTTAAAAATTTATAAAATAAACACAGAGTTGTTAATTACTGTTTAATTTTGCGTCGGTTATTGATTATTTATATCTTATTGTTTTCATAAAAAAAACTATTTAAAATTATTTCAAAGATCTTTTTTTTTCTAGTATTCTAAAAATATACATTTTGTACAGATTTTTCTACAAAAATTCTTTTGTTGCAAGTGAATATTGTGTCTTATTTTATGCTCATAATCAGGTTAGTAAAACATCATTTTTTATTGTTGTTGTTTTTTTAAACAGTTATTTTAAAAATAAACTAAATTCATGAAAAAATTTGTTTACATTAGTTCGAAATTATGGTGTTTTATCAATTGTCCTATTTAGCCCGATTTATCTGATTTTATTTATTTGACAAGTCGAATATTATAAATCATAAGACAAATTATATTCAAGTGTTTGAATTATGATAATCATACAATTCTTTGTTTACAATCCAAAAATGGACTCGATTTCGAAAAGAAAAATATAAAACTATATCGATTTAATTAAATTGATGTGTATATCAACTTAAATTATGTATAAAAATATTATTTTGTAATACACATTTCATTATAATAAATGTTGATAAACTGATAAATATATTGATGTTACTTTTTTTATATAATAATATTTTGAAGATCAATTTTATTAACAAAAAAATCTTGTTATAAATTTGTATCAATTTTAATCATTAAATTTATGTAATTAAATTAATACATTTTGTTTAGTTTCATCTAGTTTATTTTTAATAATAAACGAAATGTTTCTGTTTTTTGTTGTTTTTTTATAATAGTTAATTTACTATATATTGAAATTAAAATGATCATTTTATTTTGGGAAACAGTCTTTTTATCATTTTCGTAGTTTTTTTGTTCCAAAAATATTAATAAAATCATAAAACTAATAAATTATAATTAATAATATTAACAATTATACTATTGGTTTTTACACTAAAATATATAAATATCGAATGTGATTATATACCATAATATTTAATTCGATATATAATATATTTACTATATATTTGATGATTATTAAAAGGAAATTGTCATTATTTTAGTATTTATTTTTGTTATTGTTGTTTAATGGTAACATAAAAATAAACAATATTTGATAAAAAGATATAAAAAATAATTTTAAACTAAAACATATATTAACTTTGCTTTTAATCAAAAAATTGGTGAAATTTTCAAATATTTCTCAAATTTTTTTGTTGGAACCTCTTTTGAAGAAAAAAGTGTGTTTTTATGGGAGAGAGTTTACACTAGCTCCCTGTTTTTTTAAAACAAAAATTCGGCAAAATATGGAAACGCCTGATTGTGATTTCGTTGACTTCTATTTCGTGTAACACAAATGTCGTTCTCGGACGAAAGTGTTTTTATTCATGTGACAGTCTTGTTAATATTCCACAAACAAAATACTTTTCAAATTCGGTCTTTGAACGGTGTACTTCATTGTCGAAAATCACACTTTTTGATGGACTTGAAACTATTCCACATTGTGAGTTCTTTAGGTGTTATAAATTGAGTGAAATAAAAGTACCAAATTCAGTCACACATATCAGTAAATTTGCATTCAAACACTGCATTTCTTTGACATCATTTAACTCAGAAAGTGTGTCACTTGTAGAAGATGGGTGCTTCATGAACTGCGAAAAACTAAAAAGTGTATGCTTCAATCAGAAGAATGTTCAAATTAACTTTGACGTGTTTTCCGATTGTACTTCCCTTCAAGAAATACAAATTGGTGACGCATCTATCACGGTTTGCGACTTTGAAGTGAGTTTTACAACACATAAATACTTTTTTGAGAAAATGGGTGTTGTGTGTAATAATGTTGTTTTAACACGACGAGATGTCGAAAAGTTTGGGCCATCAATACTTAACGAAAAGTGTATACAACGCGTGGGCGAAAAGTGTTTCTTCAACAACAGAAGTCTTACTAAAATAGTATTCCCTTCTCATGTAAAATCTGTGGGATATTACAGTTGTTTCAGTTGTGTTAAATTGAAAAAAGTTGTTCTACCTGAAGGTATCACAGAAATCCCAGCACACATGTTTGACTTGCGCACATCACTAAGTTCCATAATTATACCAACCAGTGTTAAAAAGTTTGGAACAAATTGCTTTTTCTCTTGCGACTTACTCCGTGATAACTTATCAATCCCGAAAGAGGCTTTTAGTTTTAAAGAAGTTCATAAAATTATTGACGATTCAAAATCTGAATCTGAATGAGACTTAAATTAATTTAATTTAATAATTATTATGCATTTTAATCATAATAGAATAAAATGTATATAATATCAGAAGTTATAGCTTGTATGGCAAAATATTCTTGCATAATAATGTTTTTGCATAGAATATTCTGAAAATAATAATCTTCAAATAAAGGTACATTTTTTCAACAATGGTTATGTTGGAAAATTTACCTGTTATTTTTTTCTTTGGCAAATTCGTCTTATTTTTTACCATCGAAAAATCTTTGCCCGTTTTTTTTTCTTTAAAAACAACCTATACAGATAAAAAAATATGGGTGACAAGGATAAAGTCGGTGACAAGAAATAATGTTTTATAAAACAATAAAAATATTAACATTTTAATAATAAGTGAATTGAACCAACACTTACTGTCATTTTTTTTGAATAAAGTGTTGTACATTGTAACGCCTATTTCTTATCAATTAATGATAATTCACAAAAGATTTTGGCTCTATAACAAAACCGAATAAAAACTCGTTAACTTTAAAAAAATAACACACAAAAATAAAATTTTAAATAATAGAAAGAAAACAATCAATCAATCAGCAACGAATGAAAGAATTTTCTCGTCATTTCAAAGTAAAGGGATAATTTCCAATAATATTGAAAGCGCTTTCCACTTTTTTATTGATACATAATGTGTATTTCAACTTGTTAGATGGTTTTAGACCTTTTTCTGACAACTATATTCCCCAACCAAGCAACAACGCCCAAACTCACAGCCCCAACACCAACGTTAATGTCGTTAACATTGCAGACTTTGACTCCAAAAAAGAGATAATAAATGAGACATTAGTCTGCCACATCAAAGAAGTGACAGATCTCATTGTGCTTGATCCATCCAACGAAGGTCTAAATAATCATATTCTTTCAGAAAAGGTAAAAAAAATGTAAAGAACAAACCCGTCTTAACGAATTTGTAAAACTGTTTCCCCATCTATCATTTCAACCAAACTCATTGGAATTTAAAGTGTACGATGGAAATGGTTGGTAGAGTATCTGGCTTTCTGTTGTCTTTGGTTAATTCAAGTGAGTTTTGTGGATGAGGGTTCGTGATTTCAATGGTAATAATTAATTTTTATTATTGAAGTTCTTTTTATTAAGATCATTTTTTTAGAAAAGCTTGAACACACTATTGCCTTTTTTGTGTTTTTAAAATTTACAGTTTTTTCCTTATTTTTTTGGAAAACAATGAAAAAATAGCATATGAGTGTTGTCACCCACTTTACCTTTACCATCCGTTTATTGGGAGTAAAAACCCAGATTAATAGAGAAATACAACTATTGAACAATAAACATGCTCAGAAAAACGGGTTATTTATAGTTTGTCACCGACTTTATCCTCCATCTGTAATATATTTAAAAAAATATAATACAACTCGATAGATTTGACATGTTTAAAATTAGATCCTTGGCAAAAAAGTGATAATAAGTACAGTTGACCAAATAATTATCAGAGACCAAATAATTGTGAGAAGGATGTATTTCCCAATAATTACCCAAAAAATACCATGTAAATAAGAAGTGAAAAAAAGGTTCACCAAATAATAGTAAGACACTTATTTTTGTTGCTTTATAAAATAACCCAAATAGCGATAAAAAATAACTTAAAAAAATAAAACAATGTTGAACTTTTTGGACGTTTTATTGTTTTCATTGTGGTTTACTCTGGAAATGTTTCGCCATAAAAGATGTTCATAGTCCTCACTCCCCAATGGTTGTTTTTATAGGGGTTATTAATTGCAACGAAGCAACTTTATTGAACTCGTTGTTTTTCCAATCTTTTTCTGTGTGATAAGGTTTGGTTTGTTGTCAATCTTTCGTCAATTACTTCTTGAAACCCTCGGTTTCAAACACCAAACCTCGATTTAAAACACTCATTTTAAAAGAAGCTATTTAGACCCACTTGGTGTTTATCAGTTTATTGAGCGGGATTTAGTTTTTTATTTTCTTTCACTGTTGTTCAAGGTGCGCAAATTAAAGAAGTTGTAAATGTCACAAAATCACAAAAAAACTTCACTTATTATTTTTGCCGCCGCAGACGTTCGGGCACTGTACTGAATGTCAAGTTTCTTGGAATAGAAACAAGAAGAAATTGTAGTTGATATGATTGCCCGTTAGAAACGTGTATTTCAGCTGGATTGATGGTGACATTTGAAGAACGATGAAACGTAGGAGAAACAAAATATCTATCTAACATCTCATTACGTTGGTCGCATTCTGCGTTTCTTATTCTTCGACAAACTCCTAAACTCCATGTTGTATCCCTTCCAATATCAGACGAGGATTTCTTCCTCGAAAATGATGGTAATATCTCATTTTCAGCTTTCAAATAATATCTATTTTCTAAAAGTCTGACCTTGTAATTATTGACATCGGCCTCCTTAGGCTGGTAATACTCCGAAAAAGCTTTTAAGTTCAACAACGAGCCGGTGATGTTGTCCAAAACTCGGTCCATCTCAATATCACAAGATATTTCTCTTACCCGAGTAAGGGACATTCTTGTCATTTCGTCCATCTTAAAAAAGTCTTTGAACAGATCGTTAAGGCGTTCTTTTTCTTCATCGTTATTTATGGTGCATAAATCCACAACTTCTATCTGTTGGCTCTCAGAATGTTGGGGTAAGTTGCTTACTCGTCTCACAATAGTTGTCCCATTTATCGACTTTTTAACAACTCCAAAAAAGCACAGATCCACCGGTTGCATCAAATGACTTGAATGTGGCGCATATGTGTGGAGCCGAATGGTGTTCGCGTATGAAATCCCCAAAAGAACTCCATCTATATGTCCACTAAAATTATCCATTGCAATAGTTGCCCATTCTTCCAAAAGATTTAGAAGTGCCCTTTTCTTTACAATCTTCACAACCAGATCGGCCATTTAATACACGAAAACGCTTTTAGTCGCATATCCATTGGAAGAATAATATATCATTAGGTCTGGATATGAATTCTTCACTTCTAAGAAATAGCTCTTTTGACTCACAATCAAAGCGTACGAAGTTGGTTGTCCATCTGCAGAAATACAACATATTGCGGTTGAATGTTTCACTGAACGACTGACTCCATAATTTTTTTTGAAAAGTTTCTTCGGATTGTTTAACTATAAGATGGAGTTTTTTTGTCTGCCTAGTCATTTGAACCCATCTCATCGATGTTGAAAAAAGCGCCGATGGGGTACCATCGATGGCTTTGAGATCATTCATGTTCTTTATAACTGATTCATAACTTAATTCAATTCGATGATAATCATCAGCATTCATTTTTTTAAAGTGTAACCCAGTTTGTCTCTTAAATGAATGCGCACAGCTTCTCTTGTGATGTTTTCCAAATCAAAGTGTTTACTCAACAAGACCACGATTCCAGTCAGCGAACAAGAAAGCCCAAGTGAATGCAGTTTGTCCATCATACTGTTTATTTCATGATCCATATCCTTTGTTATCTTACCCTTTGTTCCACGACGCACTTCTTCAACTTCCTTCTTCAATTGACAGTCGATTGCTCCACTTGAACAACCAAACATTAATCCTAAAAGCGAAAGCGATGAGCCGTCAATACTTTTCAAAAACTTTATCTGCCCTCTTCTTGTTGTCAAATTGGAAAAAACGTCGTTTCTGAAAGCCGCTTCGAGCAAAATAACGGCTTTTTGTTGTTGTTTTCCTTTATTTTTTTCGTGAAAAATGTTATCTGTCATTTGTTTCTTAGAAAGTGCAAGAAGTCTTTGACAATTGAATGAAATGATTGGGTCTTCTTTTGGTTCAGACATGTTTTTAAGTTGTTGGTTTGTTTTCATGTTTTTATATATTTAGCTTTTTTAAAAAATAAATAAATTGTTTCATGAAATCTATTTTAATATAGTTCTTGATTAAAGTTATAAAACTATTTAATTTTACTTCTTACAATTATTTGGTCTCTGATAATTATTTGGTCAACTGTAATTATTAAAATCAAATGATTTACATTTGAACTCTTTTGAGTACAATTAAAAACAATTGAATTGTGTCAAATTTTTCATTTTAATGGTAAAAACTGTATAAATGATAATAAAAGAAATAAAGTTATAAGATAATAAATTAAATAAAGAGATGTGAAAAAATGCAAAAGTGTGTTTTGCAACGTTGAGATTATAATATTCACGTTATATCAATTTTTTTTAAAAAAATAGCATCGAGTTGTTAAAAATTAACATATATACTAAATACTATTAATATAATTATTTTTATTAAAATTTATTAACTTACAAGTGAAAAAAAACAAAAGAAAAAAATATTTATATTTATTTTTGTTATTTAACAACGCTGAAAAAATAAATTTTTATATAATAAAGCTAATTATTTGTTATTTTTGCAAAAAACTGTTCTACTTCGATGTGCCAATTCCATCCTGGTTTGGCACCATGGTTAATCAAAAGCCTGTTTACTAAATCATCCAGTCCCAAAACTGCAGATTATTTTTGGATTAAACTGATTTTTTTGATCAAAATTATATTGTTTTTTGTAATTTTTGCAACAAACATTTTTTAGGAACACAAAAGAAGCAAAACCATTTGAAATCCAATTGTTGAAGAAAAATATAAATATTTGCCGAATATACCGTTGTAATTCAGCAGATAATTGAAATAAGATAAACGTAATATAACGGGGTTTTATGTACAAAAAAATTATTACTTCTTTTAAATAATCTGACTATTTTATAAAAAAATCTTTAACTGAATAAAAACAATAATTAATCATTCAAAAAACTCTTTTTTAAATTATTTCGGAAAGATAATTAACCCTAGTGTTTGTTTATTAGTTCAAAAATCAAAAAATAAACAATTGTTAATTTTATTAATAAAAAAATAAAAACAAATATTGTTTTATTACTAATAATGTATAGTTTAAAACAACAAAGTTTAAACTATTATTTATCTTGTTCGATGAAAAATTGATAATAATTAATATGATTATATTAAATATTTATTTAATGTAATATATATATATGTAATAAAAAAATAAATAATATTTTTTATATCATATTAAAATAAAAAATATGTTCTATGAAATATTTTTTTAAAAAACAAATTAAATTAAATAATTTCCTTTTCTTAAACGAGTATAAAGTAATGACAATTAAATTGCAATAACAACCAAATGCTACATATAATACATTCACTTTGTCTAAAATAAAAGCGCGTCATTTATTGTCTCAGCCACGTATTTATCAAACTGAAAAAATATAAAACACTTATATAAGCAATCATGATGTTCGACATCTGGAGCAAACCATTTATTAAATAGGTCAAAATTGTTTCAATTGCAAACAAATTGTCGTATCATGTCGTCTTTGTTGTTGTTATAGAAACGACTGCATTTATGTAATAAATTATGCTATGCAACGAAAAGTATTTGAAAAGGTATATTTTTAATTGAACAAATGCTGTGCACCACAGAGAAAACACAAACCCCGTTGATGTAGACGCTGAATTATAAAAATTTCTTTCCGCACTTTACTAAAAACCTGAAGTGTCTAAAACATACATTGACATAATGTAGTCATTTTCATGAGTTGATAATGAGCTAAAGTGCCAAAACGTTTGCAAGATTTACTAATTGGTTAACAACAACATATTTTTAACAAAGTCAACACGCTTTAAAATCAGGATCTACATACTCTGTAAACTTCAAAACAATAAATGGTTTTTACTAGTAATTAATCTAATAATTTGTTTATTTTCTTTTTTAGATTAAAAAACAACTAAAAAATTAAATGATAATTGCTATTACATTATCACTCATGATAATACTTACCGTATTAATCATTGTCCTCGTCTTCTTGGGTTCCACCAAAGGGCCCAAAAGATTGAATGCTGAAGAAGAAAGGACAACCACATCCACAACTGCCGAAATCGAAAGAGGAAATTTGAGGTGGCAAAGTCTGCGTTTCAAAAAGACTTTATTAGTGAGTCCCACATTCAAACAAAATGATCACAAATTATTTGAAAATATATATTACTGCGTGCTGTGCAACAAACTTGTTACCAAAAGAGAACATTCAACACACGTTGTTGACGTTCACGCGTTCAATGTTGCATCACAAAAAACATCTGTTGAAACTCTTTGGTTTCAAAAACACGAAATGCTGAATAAGCTTGCACTGTGGGCTCTTTACGATTCAAGACTTACACCTCACAAAAAAATTTGCGAAGAACTTAACATCAACGAAGTGAGTCTTTCCTTCGTTGTTGAAGACTTTGATTTGTTTGGCTCTTGGGTGGCGTCGATACAAGAGATTATCTTTAAAAACTCGGAGGGTTATCAGAAAGGTACGAGGAGAGTGCATTAAACAACTTGGACCATGTGGTTTTCGGCGAAGAAGCAAACTACGTCGATGTTGTTGATGATAAATATGATGATGACAAAATGATATCAGAAGACGAAGTTACTACAATGGACGATTTAATGGACTGTGAAGACATCTCTGATTCCATCCATAATCCTACACAAACTGAAGAAATTGATTTAAAACGCAAGAGCCCAAAAGAACTCAAACTGATCAAAATGGTAAAGTTGTTGAAATCCAACTTCGAAAAAGGAAACCAGTATGTCAAGGAACAAATTGTCCACTCAATTGAAGCCCACATCAACTCTGAGATAACATCCAATGGAAAAGAACTAACAAGAGGTCAGAGGGATGCCGAATTGGGTGAATTTATTGTATTATATCTTTCTTTTATGAGCGCAGGGAGTGGGCTGTCTCAAATGCAAATAGAAGATGTAGTGGGTTTCCTCAATTTCTTTATTGATGCTACAAAAATAAATATAAAACCATTCAAACTCTCTCTAAGTGCATCCACTATTAAAAGGCGAATATCGTTGATCGCAGATGTAAAGAAAGACGAAACTAAAGAGTTTCTCCAAAAAGCAAAGTATGTGGGTCTTATGGCTGATGGCGCAAAATACGGCTCCAGTGAGCACTTCAGTCTGTTTTCAAGGTCAGTAAGTGAAAACAACGAGGTGAATGAGTCTAAACTGAAAATTGAAAAATTTATAGGGAAGCCATCATCCGAAAATTGGTTAAAGTGGATAGTTTCTGTTGGCGAGGAATTTGAATTTGACTTCAAAAAATGCTCTTCTGTCACGTTTGACGGGGCAAGCACAATGATCAGTGAAGAAGGAGGACTTTCTGGTAAAATAACAAATTGGCTCAATACAAAAGGCTTTCTGGTAGATCCATTCCAATCCAATTACTGTTTTAGCCATAGGCTAAGTAAAGCTGTCGAGAAAATAAACGAAATTGTAGAGGTTGCAATAATCAAGAAATATCTGTACAAATTAACAACCGACAACGTTAGAACACTCTGGGAGCGGTTTTGTTTACAACGGGGGACAACAGAAATTGCTCTAAACATCCCGCATTATTCTAATACAAGATTCCTTTATATCGCAACAATATCAAATATGTTGTTCGATTGTTATTCTGAAATGAAGAATTTCAACTCCAGAGTGCCAAATTTACAACGAATCGAGTTGAGCCGAAGTGAAAAAAAGTCAATTTTAAAAAAATACTTTGGAAAGGTTCTTCCCAACTTGAGTGAATCATTGTTAAATGTAAAGTTGAAATCGATCGAGACAATCACTTTCACATCGACGCTTGAAGATGAGAATTTTGTTGCCATTTTGTATTTTGTTGATTATATAATCACCAAAATCAAAGTTGTCAGTGACTGGCTTCAAAAGCGCAACCTTTCCTTTTCTATCGCATACAGACGAATAATCGATCTCATCATTTTTCTCATCGATTTCAAAACACAAATTAATGATTCTGAAGATGATGTGCTTTTTTCACTTCCATTCTTGAATCGTGTTAGTCTTTCCGAAAGGTCTGGTGTGCGTCAAGTGTGTTACTCTATCGTGAACAGATTGGTCCAGGCTCTTTCGGTACGCTTCTCAAATCCAACAGGAAAAATCAAAGAAGAATATTTGAAGTTAAACGGGTTTGCAAAGGAAAACGAATTGTCAATTAACAGTTTAGATGACTTCACGAAATTGGGTGAAAAGGTACGCAAACCCGAATTTATGATCGCGTTAAATTCTTGTTTTCTTCCAGAATATGAGAAAGTAAAACAAAACATTTCTTCTGAGTTGAACATGGAAATAACAAGATTTAATTAGTGGAAAAGGAATAATCAACAAATAATGATAAATTTGCAAATTGTCAACAACCAACAAATAGAATGTGAAAAAACAAATCATTTTTAATTATTGCAAACCTCAAAGGAGAAAAATGGATGGTGAAAAGGAAGTGTTCAAAAAAACTCGAAAATTCTGGCGGCGGAAATACAAAATTCGAGGGAACAAAGGGCAATCCAATTAAAAGAAACTTTCATCATAACTCACAATGTGACCTCTTTTATGGTTTTCAGCCAAATGAGCGAGAGTGATCTTGCATTATTTCCATTGTTGTTGGATTATTCACAAAAAGTTGAAGCTTTAAATGTAACATCGTGTACTGTCGAAAGATCATTTTCTCGAATGAAAAATATTTTGAAAAGCAACATGAACGACAAAACAATAAATGCTTTGTTTGATGTCAAGGAAATCAAGAAAGTAGTTCTTTAATTCATTAATCTTGTTTTGATTATTATTTACATTTTGACCATGTAGAATTCGTCAAAACCCAATATGTTGATAAATATTAGGTGTTTAAAGTTCGTTTAAGAGTAAAATATGGGTTTTTCCTTAGATTTTTTCTGAAACTTTTCAAACATTAATAAACTCAAACTTTTGTTAAAAATGTGATACCAAGTCATAAACAAATTAAATTTGTTTTGTACATGTAGTTTGTGGTATTTACACTATTCAATGATATCATTATTAATTCTCAATCCAGTCTATTTGAGGCATCAGCAACGAGTATATGTGTTGTGTTTTTTAGTGTTTAATAATACAAAAAATAATAACAATACAAAAAGAACAAGCAATTGAACAGAATCAACTAAAACATTATAATATGGTGCTATAATTATTGCTACAAAAACCGATTAATGGATATAAGTGCAATTGATTAAATGTATCTAATAGTGTGTTTTAAATGTTATTAATTATATGAGTGAATATTATTCTGTTTATAAAACAAATTGATTATTGTTTTCAAAAACCAATAATATAAATGATTTGAAGGATAGTCAAGTTTTATATCAACTTTCTGTGATTAAATAGATTGATTGATAAATGCATGTAGTCTAAAACCTTCTTGTGTTAATTACTTTTTAGAATGTATAACATACAACATTGTAATAAAGAATATGTCACTATAAAATTTAATCATAAACATATTCAAATAACTCATTACATTGTATATATTTATCATTTATTTTTTTAAATTTTTTAAATATTTAATTGTGAATTTGCTATTCAGATAAACATTAACATATATAATAACTAAATATTATTAATTATGTTTTTAGTATATTTATTATATTAATAGTTATTATTTTTAGTAAAATATAATAGTGAATTGTTAATATAATTATTTAATTAAGTGTTACATGTTATTAGTATAATGAATTAATATAAACATAAAAACCCATAATAATAAATGTTATAAGTAATTTCATGTAAAAGAAATAAAATAACAGTTAATGTAATTGATTGTTCTTAAGGTGGGTTTGGTTAACTCTTTTGTTTAGTATAGTTTGTATATAAAATAACAATATATAGTAAATTTAAATAAAAATATATAATATTTATATAAAATAAATGTTTATATTCAAGTTAGATAATACAAATTAATATAATAATGTTAATAAATGAATACATAATATAAACAATGAATCAAATGTGACAAAGATGGTATAGTAATTTGTGAAATCAATTTGAAAAGTAACCTAAATACCATATGGATAGTTAACGATATACCCCGTTAGCTGACCGAACTATAGATGACTTACAAACTATATTTTATATAATACAATAATAATAAATATATGGATTTATTAATTATAATTTTAACATTGTTATTTATAATTATATTAAGTATAAATTAATTAATTATAAAAAAAATATTATGTAATATAGTTAATTTATATTTATTAATATAATTGTTATATTTTTAAAATTTATTGTAAATTATAATTAATTATACTATTAATCAAAATTATTCAAAAACCATATTTAATATTATATTTATTCCATGTCACAACCTATAATTTTCTCAATCTAAATAGTAAAAATACCAATTATTTAACTAATCCAAATAAAGACAGTTATACTATATTATTGTTATTATTATACTATTTTATTTCACCTGAAACGACGCGTTTGTAAGTGCTGTTATTTTTTATTGTTTTTCTATTAAAAATACATTATATTTTTTAAAATAATCGGGATGTTTGTGGAAAAAATAGCCCATTTGTAAGGTATAAAAGAATCTAACTTAACAATTCTTATGTTCAAAACCCTAAAACCGAAAACTGCTACTTTTTTAAATATAGAAATCGCCCACAGTCAGCGACACGTATTAGGATTAAGGATTAGGTAAAAAAAGGCCTAAAAAGTTTTGGCATAAAGCAGAAAATTGATCAACCATGTTGGCACACACTTATTACAACAAAATTGTTCTACAAATTAACATTTTGAACAAAAACATGTGTTAAAAAATATAATACAAATTATTAAATTAATATTTTAAAATCATTAAAATTATAAAAAACCATTTGAAAAATAAATGGTTTTTTATTGACATTGCATTATCAATATGCAACAAAAAGTTTGTCATTATATGATATTTTAGGAACGCATTTATTTGTGTTTTATCTAATATGATATTATCACAACACTGTTTTTTACACATTTTTAAAATGAAATTAAAACTTTAAGAAAAAAATTGGCTTTTTTGACTTTATCATCTTTGAAGTTTTTTATATTTTAATAAGTTTGAAACTATTATCGAATTTCTGTCAAATTTAATTTAATATCGTTATGACTTTAATTTATAAACACGGTATCAACCTTACGAAGTGAAAAACAGGATAAATTATATCCTTGATTTTTTTTACTAAAAATAACTCACTTTTTTATTTTTGTATTTGAACTTAAAAGATCTTTAATTAAAAACGGCGTGTCAGAAACCAATTTAAATAATGAAAAATTGATAAATTTCGAAGCGCTCTCATGAAAATTTTTGTGTATGTTTCGTAACAGCAAGTGTTGACAATTTTGAACACATTGAAAATAGGAAACATGGGTCTGTAAAGACCATTAGTTTGCGCGAAAACTAATCGATTTCGTGTTTTGAATTTGTTTTTGATTGTTCTAAAAATAAATTATGATCTAGATAAATCTTATCCAGATCACCTTCTCACAAAAAAGTTGATTCAGTTGACTTGCTAAGGTTAACATTTTGTATATTAAACCAAAAACATTTTAACGAAAATAGTTATTATCGATATTAATTTAAAAATCGATTTGAACAACAAACACTAAAAAATTAAATTAATTAAAATATGATGCATCTGTTTTTATTTCTTTTTGATGTTTTCTTTTGAGATGTCGTGTTGTCAATTTTGACATTTGCTCGGATGTCTCTGACCAATCCCTGAAATGTTTCTGTGATGTTTGTATTGTTCTTTGCAGAAGTCTCATAAAACAGTGTTTTCCATTTATCTGCAACCTTATTGGCGTCTTCAGTGAACACCTGTCTGTTTGACTCCAAATCACATTTGTTACCACACAATGCAATTGGGATGTGTTCACTGAAGTCTTTGTCAAGAACTCTGTACAATAGTTCTCTAAACGTGTTTGCCTCGAAAAATGATGTTATTGATGTGATTGAGTAAACTATGACATACCCATCGCCAGTTCTCATGTATTGAAATCTAAGTGCAGAGTACTCATCTGATCCTGCTGTGTCTAACAAGTCAAGTGAGACCATTTCGCCATCAACATTGATGCTTGTTTGATACGAGTCTTCAAGTGTTGGATCATAGATTTGGACAAAGTGTCCTGAGACCAGTTGCATTGTGATTGCTGACTTCCCAACAGCACCACTACCAAATACAACTATTCGAACTGTTGGCATGTTGATTTGGTTTAGCAGTGGTGTTTAACTTTTTTATTATAATACAATACAATTCATTATAAACAAGGTGAGGTTTGTATTTATAAAAAATCAAAATTTATAAAATTATTGTATAAAAAGACGGGACTATAATTGTTAATAATAATATCAACTTCACCATATCTATTTGTCTATTAATATTTTAGATAATAATAAACAATAAATATACTATTCGTTTATATTATATATATTATAAATTAATATAATATATTATAATATATATATATATTATTATTTAAAATATATATATGATTATAACAATAAAAAATATTTTTCAAAAAACAAAAAATGGGAATTATGGGAATCGAACCCAAGGATTTCTATTGTTGTTATTCAAACCATTCTGAGATGCACCACCATTATGCTAAATTCCCTTTTAAATAATTCTCACAAAATTGCGATTGATAAATTTATTGGTTAATGAATATTTACTTGATTATCAATTTTTGATATATAATTAAGTAATCAAGATAAATTTGAACGTTTATTATTATTTAAACCTTCTATTGTTTTGTTATAACACATTTTGAATTTATGAATATCAAACAATTGTAATAATTATTAATTTTATAAATACGAATTATTTTTTATCAACTACCAACAAATCGAAAATATAAAATGATTGTTAAACGTTTTTTATTGTTTAAAATGCAACAAATTTCACGTGTCACAATTCTGATTTAACATATATTAAAATATAATAATATATTATTATCTTCAATTTAACTATTTCAAATAAAGTACAGAATTAAAGTTAAATATTAACCTGTTTACAATTTTCGTTTTTAAATAAAAATAATATTTCAACAATCAAAAAGTTTGTAATAGAGGATTTCCGTAATACCCGTCATCGGCATTATTTACAAATGACAATAAACTTTCCATCTTAGCTGCAATTTGTTGAGCTTTTTGGGCATTGACCAATAGAGGGGTTCGAGTCATTGCTATAACTTCATTTGCAAATTTTCTGATGTAAGCTTCTGCATATTTGAACAAATTTTTGGCCTTTTCTCTTTGTTCTGGCTCTCTAAAAAAAGCTCGGTCTACTTTAGTATAAAAGTAATATTTCTTCCTCCAAAAAGAACTAATAATAGTTTTAATCCGACGACTTATAAACACGTCGAGAATGGGTTCAATAAACATCAAGGCCACTATAACTTTTCTTTCAGTTATTCGTTGAATTTCGAGTTGGTCCAATATGAATTTAAAAGAATGAAAGAGTCTTTCTAACGCATTGATGTCATCGCTTGTAAATAACCCAGGCAACACAAGACCAATGAGCCAATTTCTCAGTTTTTCCATTTCTTCACAAAAATTAAACATGTCTGTATATATCTTACCCATATGCACTTGTAATTCCAATTCTCGTTGTTGTAAGTTTTCAACACCAGCTTCTAAACTCAGAGCCAAAGTGTGTTGAGGTCTTCTAAATAATCCTAGATTTTTTGGTTTGATTGGAGTGTCACTCACTGATAATTGAATTAATACAAATAATAGGTATAAAAAATATAAAACCATATTTATAGAGATGAATTTTTATATTTTTAATTTGATGTTATATTATTTTTTAAAAAATATATTTAATTAACTTAACAATTGTTTTTTATCCTCAATTTTTTATTATTAAGAAATTTGTTATTTAAAAAAAGTTAAAAAACTGTTTTTCAAAAGTCGGTACTGGGGTGTTTCGATTTTTTGCATTTATTTTGTTTATTATTTTTGGGAATCGTTTTTTTGTAATAAATTCGCTTATTTTTTCCAAGTAAAAAAGAGAAATGCAGTCTTCAAAAAATATTTTTTTACTTGAAGAATTTTTAAGCATAAAAAAATTCCATATAAAATTTAAAATAACGGGATTTTTGTTTCAGAAAAACACGCGAATTATCCCAAAAGTGCATTTTAGTACAAAAGCAAATAAACTTAATGACAATTTTTTATTACAGTTAGTTTCATTTTGTTTAATAATTTTTTCAAAATTATAATGTTATTTTTCAAAATAATGATAAAAATGTACCTTTAATCAACACCGTTTCAAAACAATAATTAATTGTTTCAAAAGAAAAACAATTGTTTCAAATTAATGAATAATTGTTTCATTAAATGATTTATTTTACAATAATTATGACTAATTGTTGAAAAAACTTGTTTTTTGTTTCAAATTTTTAATTATTTGTTTCAAAACTGTGTTTGAATTCTCAAAACAATAAACACAAACAATTAAAAACCAGTTAAAGATCTTCCATTGCAAAAACTTTCACAGAAACAATATTAATAAAATTCATTACAATTCGTCTTATTTCAATTGGACTAATTTCATCAAAACACTTTGAGATGTTTTCAATCATATCTGCTATAGTCACATTATTCAATTTTCCAACTCGGACTTTCCATATTCCAAATACGTTTTCTATAGGGTTGCACTCTGGTGAGTAAGGCGCATTGAACAACACTTTGCACCCTCTGTCTTCTGCAAGTTGAACAATGTCATCTTTGTGGACTGAAGCATTGTCCATGACAAATACAATTCTGCTTCCATCCGTTGTGAAGCTTCAAGAGGAATTTAAAATATTTAATAAATATTTCCCCATTAATAGTTTGGTTAAATAAAGTACAATATTTTGAACCGGTATCACTTATAGCGCAGACACAAGATAAATTAAATGTCGACAATGGTTGTTCACGAAAATGTTTTTTTCCTCTAACACCCCAATTTCTGGATCTGACATTGCCAACCTTCCAGTGACTCTCGTCGACAAAAACAACTTGATAACCCGAAGAAATAAATTGATCAAGTTCTCTTCTTTTTTGTACTCGTAGCAATTTGTTTTCCTGTGTGTTCGCTCTGGGACCCCTTATTGTGCACTCGGTAAAACTTAAAGGTGGAAGTTCGGCTACTTTCATTATGTCTGGGTCTTTGATATATCGACTTATTGTTGAAATCGACACTACTTTTATATTAGTTCTTATTTCATTCAAAACACTATCTGCCAAATGTCTTTTGGTTTCTCTTAGTGTTTTATTTTCTATTGTTAATTTATTGGCTATTTCGGTGAGTAACTCAGGAGAATATTTTGGTTTTCTTCCCACTTTTTGAGTTTGCGTAATATCAATACCACCTTTCAGATACTTCAAATACCGTTTGACCATTTGTTCATTCATTTTGCTTTTTTCTTGATAATATCGCCAATCTTTGATTTCTCCGTGTTCACAGTATTCATTATAAAGTCTGTTTTTCTGGGACTGGGTCGCTTTAACATAGATTCTTTTTTGTTCTGTTTGTTTTGTTGTAATTTGTGTGTCTCCAAATGGTTGTGTTTCAGTGTTCCGCAAACTACTTGATCTTGAAATTTCATCTGTAGTTCTCAATTGCGCAAGTGGTACTTCATCAAGAACTGGTTGTTGATGAGGATCTTCTTGATTCAAAAATGATTGGACATTGTCTCTATGAATAAACTGAAAAGTGTTAACTGCCATTGAAAATATAGATTTAAATGGTGTTTAAATATATATATTTTTTATTTTCCCCGTTAGTTATTGTCAAAATGTGTTTGTTTTCATTGTTTGTTTGTGTTTATTGTTTTGAGAATTCAAACACAGTTTTGAAACAAATAATTAAAAATTTGAAACAAAAAACAAGTTTTTTCAACAATTAGTCATAATTATTGTAAAATAAATCATTTAATGAAACAATTATTCATTAATTTGAAACAATTGTTTTTCTTTTGAAACAATTAATTATTGTTTTGAAACGGTGTTGATTAAAGGTACATTTTTATCATTATTTTGAAAAATAACATTATAATTTTGAAAAAATTATTAAACAAAATGAAACTAACTGTATCAAACATTTTATTAATTAATGAAATATTCACAAAACAAAAGCTAAGTTCGAAGATTAGTATGTTTAATAGTGTTGTCACAACAACAATAAAGATATCAAAATGATTTGATAACTTATCTTTTTTGGGTTTTATAAAGTCGACATTATCTTTGGGCATTTCAGTGAGAACATCATTTTTAAAATATCCAATAACAAAACAATATTGTTTTTTGCATTATTGTCTTTTCTTGTGTTGCCCGTTGACTTATGTCTGTCAAAATTATCAAACATTTGCTGTAATTTATTTAATGGTGTTTTTGGAACTCTTTGTTTCATTATTTTTTATTCAGAGAAGATAACCACATGTTTGTTTTTAATTGAAAATATTTTTTTTAACGAAAGTAATTATCAGTTAAAACTCGACACAAACAACAACATTCAATCCACTTAAACGTTCATTGTCGTGCTTTTATGCCAACAGTACTGAATATATGTTGCGAAGTATCGAGTTGAGGTCAAATCAAATAACGGGATCGGTTTTTTTGGAAAAGGCTGGCTAATATTCCAATATTTTCCCGAATATGTACAAAAATAATTGAACGGGATTGGTATTTTTTTCAAAATAAAGTCAGTACTTTCGATTTTTTGTTTTTTGTTTTTTTTAAGAAAAAAACAAAAAAAAACGAAACTTTAGGAAATTCTAAAAATATGACAGTACCGACTTTTGAAAAACAGTTTACATTTGTTTTGTAAATAAAAATGATTATTTTTGGATTGAATTGTTTTAGTTTATAACTTTTTGAAAAAATTTTATTTGATGTACGAATGGTTTTAGTTCTAAATATAACAATTTCTATGTTTATTTAAATGGTTGTGTCTATGTAGTCGTTCGATTAAAAATTAACCAAACACACTCGATTGATTGTTTCGTTGCCAATTATTATAAATTCTATTTATTAAAAAAAATAAAAAAGCTTTTTAACGAAATAGTATATAAATTATGTGGATTTAGGTGGGGACCTCATTTTATCTATATTTTAATTAAATCGCGAGGGGACGTGAATCTGAATTTTGATACCTACGGTCTCATGCGTTTACTCACAAAATATTGACATCTTTGATGTCTCTAGAATCTCGCATTCGTTTCCATTCTTCGAAGATGTAGTCTTCTTTATGAGAAACTCATGCCGAAGGCTGAGGAACCTTTGGTCTGTTCGGTGTAAATTTATATAGAGCAAATTTATATTAATGTAATTTTATATTTTCTTTAAAATGACGGAACAAATTAATATACTTGATTATGATAAAGATGTTGATTATTATGTTAAATATGATTTAGATAACAAATTTTTATTTGTCGATATTGGATGTATATATAAAATTTCAATTGGAAGAATGGAAAGATTTAAAAAATATTTGAATGATTATCTTAAAACTATACAAAGTAATGAAAATGTAATATGAAATTACCAAACTAATCAAGGTTAAAGTAATACACATTTTTTAACAAATAAATATGGGTGAATAAGATTTAAACCCAAACCCAACACGTATACAATTTATTGAGATAGATTTTTTCTAATTTGTTTACTATTAAAAAGGAAATATATAAAATACTATATGTAATGATTATATTAACTATAATATATACTCATTAAAAAGAGAAAAACGTTTTGGTTTCATTCGCAAAGAAAAGATTAACATTTTGAATAATGTAAAATATAAGTTAAATATAATTTTATTTCGAATTAACTTTGAATAATTTATTGTTTAATATTCTATAAAACGTGTTTATAAGCAATGTTTATTTATTAAATTAAAATAAGATAAAACCATTAAAATTAGTTGTTGTATACTTATTAATTTTGAAACCTAATTATTCAATGAATTCCAACCAACTTAATGATGTCTATTTCAAAGGGTTAGAACAACAAAAAATATGCCTCCAATTTCACTTTGGAATACATTATCATCATTTACAAAGGATAATCTAAAGGCTAAAATAATTTTGGAAATCTATAATTCAACAAATATTCCAATTTTATGTGTGTTAAAACAAAAACCAAGTCCAACTCATAGACTTAATTCGGTTCACAACACGATAATCACTGGTTTATACAACATGTTGGGAACAACACTGACATGTTCATGTACTGAAATCATTAAACAATTTTGTTATATTTCCACTGAAATGTTTTCATTTCAGATATACGCAGCAAGACATACTCGTTCCGATTCCCCCAAACAAATTTATGGATGCAAGTCATTCAGTTGTTGTTCTTCTGTCGTTATTTTTTTTTGTTTGAAAAGAAATGTCTTTTTATATATTTTAACCCATGGCACACTAACCACGATGAGACATCATTAACAAAGGGTCTCCACGACTTAAATACCCATGATAAAAAGCTTGCAAATCTTAAAGACGCAGAAAATAATGTGAGTACTCAAATATCAAGATTGAATCATGATTTGACGTATCTTCCACAAACAATCTATGACATAAGAAAAAAACTTACAAAAACCA